AGGGATGTGTGGAATTATTCTTCCGTTGCCTTCATCTTTGAATAATTCTCTACTGCACCCAGCATCCTGTTCTAGAGCTCACTATGCAGGCTTAACACAGCTATGCTTAGAAGGTCCATTACAGGGCCTATATTTTGTTCTCATAAGCTATTTTCTCAGGAACTATCTGTAATTATGGGATCCTTTCCAGACCCTGAAATACATCTTTTTCCTGGTAACACAGGTCTGAAAAGTCACTTATCAGAGTGCATCACCCCAGTCTTCCTTCTCTTCCTTCCTACTGTTAATGTAGGTTCCCCTCAAGAGCTCATTCTGATTCAAGACCATCTTCTTCCTCCAACAAAGCAAACACATTAATGGTTGTTACCAACACACCCTCTTGACTAAGGACCCTTCTTTCTTAAAATCTACAACTTCAAGACAAGTGCCTGAAATGTAGCAGTTACTCAGTTATTCTTTCTCTAATAAAGTTATGAATGATGATTCTGATAAAAGCAACTCTTATTTGTCTACTAACTTTATTGTGTTTATTTAATTCATTAGAAAACCCAATGATATGTGTACATAGGACAAAATTCAAACAATACAAATTACAGAATATGAAAATTAAGTCTCATGCCCATTCCAGTTTTTCATTTACTTGCACCACAGGTAACAAATTTTTCTGCATCTTTCTAGAGATATTCTATGTATACTTTATTTTTAACCTCAAACTTCATTTTGAACAATTGTTTTAATAACAATACTAATATTGGAAATGGTAAAGAGAAATATGTATATGCTTTTAAAATAGCTTGTGTGTGTTATCTCATTTGATATAATAATTCCATGAAGTGTCAAGGATAAAACAAGATAGAGCCCCTTTTGAAGATTATGGACATTGAAGCTAAAAATAGTCTGAAAGGATTTTATAATCAAAAAGCAGTTCATTAGATACATCAGGACTGTCACTTGATCCCAGTCTAGAGCTATTTCTCTGAGTCCTTCTATTTTCCCAACAAAATCATCATGCTTAGCATATGAAATACCTGCATATCATGCTTTGCCAATCTTAAAATGCCTTGTCAGAACCAGAACCTAATTTCAGAACACTACCTTCTCAAATATGTTTCTGTCTTCTTCTGGTGAGATGTTAAATTAATATTCACATCTAGTGCTACTATTCTTTGATTTGTAGGGTTTCTGGACCAGTAGCACAATTGCAAGGCTTTCTTTAGTTTGAAAAGTCAGGTGTCCTGGTACTATCATGATCTCCACCCTTGGCTGGGTCCTCCAGTCTGAAGAAAAAAAGGACTGCTCTGAGTCCTTCCCAGGCTTATTTTTCCTCATAAGAGATATTCCAAACTTTGCCCATTCTCAAACGCCCTAATCCACCACCTTATCCTCACTCTGCAAGAAAGCCAGGCTCATCATGAAAGTGCCTCAACTTCCTCCCTGCTCTAACCTATTCTCCCTCCTCAGATCTACCAGTATCACCTGTGTCTAAATATGTGGCCACCCCTATTGCTTGAATTCCATTTCTTTCTGACCTTTTAGGGGCCCTGGGTCCTGAGAAATACCTTATCTTGCCTGTGTCCTCAACTTCTTGCTTTTTTCTCTTCTAACTGTCCCTTCTCTTCACCTGGCACTTTTTCTTCATCTGCCTTTCACCATACATGGCCTTGATCTATCAGCCAAGGTGTGAAAGAGTAGTCCACACGCAGTGTCCCCACTTCATTGCCATCCCATTTACTCTTGGTTTTCCTTCTGACTCTAAGAGCAGACTTTCACAGCCTCCTTTTCAGGCTCCTTTTCTTCCAAAAGTTTATTTTTCCAGCTTTTTACCATATATTCCAGTGAATTACTTTCAATTTTCCTAAACTTCTATGCCTTTGCACATGTTCTCACTTCTGCCTGGAATCTTTCTTCTTTGTTTCCATCTTTATACCCCTACACCTTTCCTCAAGAGAGGTCAGCTCTCAGCATTCACGGAGACTTTACCATTGGAATGAGATTGGTTCCCTTTTCATTTCTTCGTATCTTTCCCTGCTTCCTTTTGCTCTTTTAAGTGCATTACATATAGTGCCTCATTTAATCTCCACAACGACCATTTGAGGCAAGTACTATTATTACCCCAATCATACAAATTAGAAACTGAAGCCCAGAGACATTAAGTAACTTTGTTTAAAGTTAAAGAGCCAATAAATGGAAAAGTCCAGATTTGAATGAATTAACAAGTGGTACTCTTTTCTTAAAAGACTGATCAGAATTGAGACAGGTTGAAATTTCATGATATAGATTTTCAAACCTGCAAAGGCAGCACAAACCTTAAAAAGGCCATGGCATTCTCAGGGAAGAGGAAAAGTAAGTGTGGGGATGATGGTAATAATAATAACCAAAAACTTTAAAACTTCAAAAAACTCTTTGTCATGCTTCATCTTATTTTATGTACTATGTTATGATCCCAACATGTGAAATCAGGTTGGCATTGCCAGTACCAGTATCCTGGGCTTTATATTTTAGTTCTTCTGGGGTTTTGTCCCTTATGTCTGGGCTGATATGGATGAGTAAATTGGGAGCATGATAGGTTTAGACAAAAAAGCTGGGAAAGTTTTCACACTGTTATTAACTATTTATTTACTCAAGAGTTATAATAGATAATGTGGTTAATTTCCAGAACGAAGGGGCCACACCTAAGGATGCCTATAAGTGCCTGAGCAAGTGGATACATATCTAAAACCTGTTCTTGGTATTTCCAAAGCAGTTAACCTCCACATCTGTATATAATGCATCCAAAGAATGTTTTTTATATGACTTCATCTCCCATTTCCTTCACCAATAGCTTGATACATTGCACAAGAGCTGGAAGAATTCTTCATGTAGGAATCCACAGTTGAGTTTTAGAGCAATCCCTGAATTCCCTGAAAGTTTTATTCAGAAATACATGTGCAAGTGAGCACACCTTTTTTCCCCCAATCATTACACACTTTTTTTTTAAAGAAGAGGATTTGTAGCTTTCAACAGATTCCTGAGGAGCCTACTATTCTCCCCACCCCAAGATTAAGAGCCATTATTTTTGTGACGGAAACAAATATGATATTGGTCTAAAAGCCAGACATATTGCAAGAGAAATCTGTTCCCTCCTTCCCACCACCACAGCCACTATTTCCCCCTCCCGCATCATAAAATACCTTAAGCTAAATAAAAGAATTTTATGTTCTTTAGTCGCAATTTGAATTTTTCACACCACTCCTGCCCAGATAACTGAGATGTACCTGGTGGAAAATGTAGATGGCAAAATAATGCATTGTGGATTTTTATAACAGATTTGATCATCCCTAAGTATTTTAATTGGCATTTTAAAACTGCATGTTTTACCTGACCTAACAGCAACCATAAGTACAACATATTCTGTGACTGCTAAAGAAGTCAACTAGGGATTGAAATATAACTTTCATTCGTTTTTTTTTTTTAACGTAACTTTTAAATAGAGTTAGGTTATCCAGTAGGAAGATTAAGCATGTGCTTAAGGCATCAGTGAAGAATGAGCAGTCCAGTTTTTAGAATGCAATATATATTTTTTAAAAGCACAAAAGTAATAATCACAGGAAAAATTAGAACCTTGCTGTATTTTCTTTTCTTGTTATATTCTTCGGTTTCTGTTTAACTTTTCATAATATGTGAGGGTGGTTGAGGGTGCCCATCATTTTTTCCGTGGTTAAGGTCTTCACGGTCTTTCCTTTTATATAATATTAATAACTCTATTCAGAGTATTTTCTTCTCTGTGCCTCACAAAAGGATTGCAAGCAAATCCTCAAAATGGATAATTTAATAGCTATCAGGTATTAGCTTAAGATTTGTGGCACCGTCCTTAATGTTTATATGTACATCAATTCATTTAAACTCACAAAAACCCGATAAAATAGGGACCACTCTTAGTCCCTCCTCCCCCGATTTTATAACTAAGAAAAATTAAGGTATTTCCAGTAGGAAGAAGTGTGGGAACCTGGAAGGAGACCCAGGAATGGCCCCCAGGACTGTGTTTGATCCCGGTCTCTGAACCACCATGTAACTGTGCCTCTAGAATGCTGAGCACTTTTTCTGGCCTGTCCTCCCAAGGACTCCCTCCTCCACTTCCCTATCTGCTTACAGGCAGAATACTTACCCGTCGTGTTAAATAGACCCCATCTTTTAGAAGCCAGCCCTTATACCAGGCATTGCACATGTCTGAGGAAAAAAGCCCTCGCCCCAGACGTCCGTTTTACACTCGGAAGGACGAGGGGGCGGTGGAGGGGCAGGCTGGTGGGCAGGCAGACTCTCCGGAATGCATCTGGCATAGGGGAAGCCATGCGTGTGTGTGCTAGGGGCGCGGGGGGAGGTAGGGCAGGAGTGTGGCGTCTAGAAGAAGGGGCGCCTCCTAGTCGTACCGGTGATACCGATCCCCGGTGGTGTTTGTCACTAGCCGGGGAGCGTTGCCGCTTCTTCTGATCTAGAGAGGAAGCAATACTTTGCCTATGACATCAAACACCCTGGTTCGACTTTGGCAGTTGGGAAGCCCGCGCAGCTTTCTAATGCCAGGGGGCTGTAGCGGGGAGGAAGGCAACAGGGGAGAGATTGGGCTGAGCAGGGAGAACGCGCTAGAGCCCCACGCGCGCCTCTGCCGGGGCTGCGGGGCGCGGCGTCGGTGGGCGGCCAGGCGCGGGGTAGAGGCAGGTGGGCAGGCACCCCGGGGTCCCTTCCCCCTCCGCTTCTCCGTGCTCCGGGCGAGAGCGGCTTCCGGCCGGGGCCCCGGGGCGAGTCCCAACTCGGGGCGCCTTCAGGGGTGTCGCATTCCAGCGGGTTCGGAGCGATTGGCACCTCCTGCGGGAGGAGTCGAGAGACAGAGTCTGGGGGCCTCTTCCGCCAGCCCCGGAGGAACAAAGAGGAGGGGCGGGCTGGTCACGAGAGGGTGGGGCGGGCCTCTGGCGCTCGACGGTGGCTGAGGAAGGGAGGAAGCGAGGGAGCGAGCGGCGGGGAGCAGCATGGAGTCCTCGGCAGACAGGCTGGCCACGGCGGCGGCCCGGGGTCGGGCGGAGGAGGTGCGGGCCCTGCTCGAGGCGGGGGCGCAGCCCAACGCGCCCAACCGCTGCGGTCGGAGCCCCATTCAGGTAGGTCGCCGGCTGCAGCCGGAGAAGGGGATGGCGGGCAGTGCTGGAGGACGAGGTTAGCACGGCAATGGGAGTCAGGTAGCGCCGCCGCGATTCTGGGAAAAGGGAGAGTTCCCAGGGAGTTTGCAGATGGGGGTTGGGATCGGAGACCTCCTTCTGGCGACGTCCTGGGGTCTCGGAAAGCCACGGGAGGAATGATGAGGCACGTGGTCTGCAAATCTGAATGCTGTGAAGATCTGGGGGGTAGGGACTGGGGGGAAAGATATTAGTATTAGACCGAGGAGTGTTCTTCGTCAGATACAAAATCTACAAACGTTTGGGAGAAAATGCGAGTTTTGAAGAAACATGTAAGATTTGCTGCGACTGACAGCTTAGCTCCGAACTCACAGATCCCTGAGTGGAGCTTATCGTTTTCCTTGCGAGGAGAGCTTTCGGTGGAAATCTACTGCCGTTTGTGTTGTAATAAATGGCGATTGAAATTAATCAGAAGGAGCTACAATTGTGTTTATTTTTATTGTAACTGAGTAGGGAAAATACTTAGGAAATAAAGGCAGACATTCATGAAGAAAAACATTAATGCGATCTCACCTGAGATAATGTCAATTTAGTTACCATTGTGGGTGTATCTCCTATTATTTTTGCTATTTTTTAACTTACACGATGTAGTTTAACTTACTTGAGATAGAGTTTTCAATCCCTCATTGTTGAGAAGTGCCATATCTCTCCTGCCCTCTCGGGGGTGGAGGGGGGTGGGGAGGGTATTGGTGAGTTTTTTGACTTCACTGATTTCCTAAATTTCAGGCTAAAAACAAACTATTCCTGGCACTCATCAACCTAGTTTTATTCCCAGTGGCGACAATGATATTTAATTCTGGAAAAGAAAATGTATATGAAACAAATACACATTGCAAAACCTCCAGCATAACGAGACAAAGGAAAGGAACTCGAAACTTCACCAACTTCACAAATGACTTCCTTTACTGAAACTATCTACAAAGAGTAAACTTTATAAACATTAAAATGCAGGTATAAATAAAAAGCCAAAATGTGTTAAACCTTGAGATTACTTAGGATTCAAAGTGTGGAGAGGTTTTTAGACTAGAGAGGTTGAGAGCTGCACAAGATGAGTTCTTAAAAGTAATGCACGGGTGAGTCATAATTTAACATTTCTAAAATTTTGTCAGCAGTTTGGAGACCGGGAATTTGGCATTGGAGTTCTAAAATATGTTAAAAGAGACCTTATTTGTTTAGATACAAAAAAGAAAAAGAGTTGAATAATTAGTTTTAACAGCTTTTTAATAGGGAGAAGAACAGAGAGAAAAGGGGAAATTTTTTTTCATTTAGAATCCTAACAAAATTAGTGTTTAATATAGAAATAGTTGTAGAAAAAAATTTAAGTACTAAATTCAAATTAATTTCTTATCAAATGGATTTAAACACCCTATAATTTATTTAGTTGATTCTTTTCTTTTTGCTTTTGAGTGCTGTTATGATTTAAATACTTACGTGTGGGTTACTTTTCAGCTTTTTTGTACCATAAAATATAAGCAAAATATTTAAGACCAGTTTTATAACCAAGATGAAAGACTTCATTGGATACACAGAACAGTGCACTGCAATATTTTTTTCTTTTTGTAGCTGTAATTTGGTTCACTTGTATTTTCTCCATGCCTTTTTGAAAGCTAAATCAGTTTCACTTTTTCAGGGCAGGATTCAACAATCATAATACAATTTATTAAGGTTTCCTGATTTAGATAAATTAAGTAATTTGTGTTTAGTTGATACAGAATGTAACCAAAACACAGTAGTTCTTCTTTATAAAGTCACTGTCACTGAACTGATATAACCAAATAATGTTTACCCAAAAAACAATTGTTTACCATGGCCACCCACAACGCAACACTCAAATTGTAAGGTTGCTGTGACTGTGGACATAATTTTAAAATTCCTCATTAGGAATGGCTTTGTTTCAAAGATGATTTAGGAACAAAAGAGGTGAATATCTCCTGTTTAATGAACTCTCAAATCATAAGCTTGAGAAATTTTGTAGTTTCCTATTGCTGCTGTAACAAATTATCACAAATTTAGTGGCTAAAACAAACACAAAATTATTATTCCACGGTTCTGGAGGTCTGAAATCTAAAATGGGTCCACAGGGCTCCATTCTTCTTAGAAGCTCTGAGGATACTCTTCTTTCCTTTTCCAGCTTCACTTAGCCATCAAATTCCTTGGCTCATGGCCCCTGCACCTTCTTTCTGACTTTGCTTCCATTCTTCTATCTTCTCTCTGACTGTGACCCTTTTATAGAACTCTTGTGACTATGCTGGGCCCACTTTGATAATTTGGGATAATTTCTCTCAAGATCCTTAATTTAATCACATCTGTAAATTCCCTTTTGCCATGTAAGGTAATATAGTCACGGCTTTTGAGGATTAGGACATCTTTGGGGTGTATTATTCAGCCTACCACAGGAAGGAATTTCAGGGGTAATTTAGACAAGCTTTCTCATTTTATACTTAAAGAAATTGAAGTTTCAGAACTGGAAAACATTATGCTAAGTGAAATAAGCTAAACACAGAGAAATACCACACATTCTCACTTATATATGGAATTTAAAACAATTGAATTCATAAAAGTGGAGAGTAGAATGGTGATTACCGGAGTCTGGGGCAGGGGGATGGGAAGATGATAATCAAAGGATACAAAGCCTCAGTTAGGAGAAATGTTTGATTTTTTTTTTAAGCTCTATTGCACAGCATGGTGAATATAGCTGATAACTGCGTACTGTAAATCCAGTTATCACTAAGAGAGTAAATCTCCTGTTCTCATCACAAAAGATGTCAAATACTTGAGGTGATGGATTGGTTAATTAGCTTGGTTTAATCAGTCCACATTGTACTAAAAAATCATAATATTGCTCTGTTTCCCATAAACATATATAGCTGTAATTTGTCAATATATACTTTTTACAAAGCCAATTCAATTTAAAAAAAAAAAAGAATTGAAATTTAACATTCTGGGAAGCTAAGGATAACTTAAAAGTTTTGTGAGAATTAAGTATTTAATTTTTTTTTTTTTTAACAATTACCACATTGGGGACTTGGATATACAGCTGTGACTAAACAAAATCTCTGAGCCTAATATAATTTCATCTCAAAATAAGGGAAAATACAGGAAGTTAGGTTGTAGTAAAAATCAGTCTGCCCTTCACCCTTTTGTTGTCTGTGCCTCTGGCAGTTTTCTGCCTGTGACTAGAGCTCCGCATAAGGTTAGAGAATATAATGGAGTTCAATGTGTAGTAAAAAATGAAACGGATGGGAGACTTGGACAAGGGAGTTGGTAACTGGAAGCTAATGAAGGGTCGTTAGACACCTGTGTCTTGTACAGGCGTCTGTACGGGGTGGGGGTGGAGGGGGGCTTCACAAAAAGGGTTTCTTTCAATCAATTTTGCCCTCGCCCTCGCCTGACCACTCGCTCTCTCCCGCAGGTCATGATGATGGGCAGCACCCGCGTGGCCGAGCTGCTGCTCCTCCACGGCGCCGAGCCCAACTGCGCGGACCCTGCCACCCTCACCCGACCGGTGCACGACGCCGCCCGGGAGGGCTTCTTGGAAACGCTGGTGGCGCTGCACCGGGCCGGGGCGCGGCTGGACGTGCGCGACGCCTGGGGCCGCCTGCCCGTGGACCTGGCTGAGGAGCGGGGCCACCGCGACGTCGCCCGGTACCTGCGCGCGGACGCGGGGGATTGACGGCGGGTTCAATTAGCCGCCCACGATGACTCTTTTTTCTCCCCCAGTTCCCCATCCCTACCTAGTTCAATGAAGGCTGCAAACGTGGAGCGGCGGAAAGCTTGCAAGCCTTCCTGGGTGCTCGACTTCCCGGAGGAAGGAGGAGCCAACTGGGAATAACCCGCAGGGGACACCGAAGGCGGCAGCCACGCCCGCACAGACGCTGCGGAAGGTCCCCCAGGTGAGGACTGACGATCTAAGAATTTGGACCCTAAGAGCTTCCGAAGTTCAGCGCAGTCATTTTCCAGGAGAGAAAACTGAGCGTGGAAGAACAGGTTCTCAGGTCTCACCGAAGCTCACAGTACAACCCAGGAGACACCCTGAGTCTCTCATCGCGCTGCCTCGTCTGGGCAGCAGACGAGAAATAGCCCGAAATGAACTTGTGCAAGTGAAAAGCCCATCCCATAACACATACACACACACACACACACACACACACACAGCGCCACCCTCCCGGAACGTTGAACATTCCTCCAAAGTAGCTGGCCAGCCACATCCACTCACAGGGCCTCTATAAGTTCCCCTACTTGCATATCTACGTGACTGGATCAGCCCCACAATTTCCTAACCCAGTTGTGCGTGGCACCATTTGGACATTTGTCATTCCCAGGTCTATTACGCAACGCTACTAAATCTGCCTTTCCACTTCATGCGGTGGAGTTTTCCCAGGGTTCCCCTATGGGGTTCTGAGGCCATCAGGGATGGAGAACTTGCCAGCACTGGCAGTCTGCACACCTGGATTTTCTGGACTCTATGGGAGGCAGAGACCCTCTCTTTTCCTTCTTCTCTTAAGCTTTCTGTTTCTGCCAAGAGATCGCTGAGTGAGAAATATGGAATTGTGGTCCTCTCAGCCTTTCCCTTCTGCGACCTCAAAGCCTTTTTGCCCCCCACAGTTCCATCCCCCTACCCCCACCCCTGTCTGCCTGAAGTGCCAGCTCCACTCATTTTTTTCTGGAGGGGGATTTTTTTTAAAAAAACGAAATAGATACATGAAGCAATATACAAAATTAACACGAGTGTTTAAGGTAAAACATGACTTTAAAGATACTGAAATCTATCCTGTTTTGGCTCAGGACCGGGGCAGTGGGCTCCCTAGGTCTTAGGGGAGCTGGAGAGGACCGGTGGAGAGTCTAGCTCTAGGGCCTTTCCTGGGCGGTGCTGTGAATACAGAAGGCGAAACCTGCGGGCCTTCGAAGTGAAAGGCCTGAATGAAGATGTCCTTTAGCCGGCCCACCATCAGGGACGCGGTATAGGACCAGAGGCCAATCACATCTCTGTTGAGGAGCGGAGCAAGAAGCCTGAGGAACTGAGGACAGGAGGAGCAGACTATTGAACTGGGCCACAGGCAGATGAATAAATTAAGCGACCCTTAAGCACACATGTCCGTCCTTCCATCCTCCTTTCCTTCCGTCCTTTCGCCCGCCCTTCCTCCCTCCTTCCTTCCTTCATTCTCCTCTCCAATCCCTCCTCTCCAAGCACAGTTACTTCTGTAGTTAAGATGCTACTACGTGATTAGCCCTGCTCTAAGTGTAAGAGACATAAAAACAGGAGTCCTGCCCTCATAGAGCTTACATTCTGGGAAATAGAGTTTAAGCAAGTAAACGTATTTCAAGAGAGTGAGATTGTAAAACCAAAGCGATGGATAAGGGTGAAGTGTGAATAGGAGGAGAGGCTAGAGAAAGCCTGAATGGTGAAAAAGTAGCCACCGGAGGCTGAGAGGATCTCAAGTGCCCACTTGGGCCCCAAGCAGCCAGGCAGGGTGGACGCGCTGCTGAATCAGCGAGGCTCGGCAGTTTGGGGGCGTCTGGCAGGTTCTAGAGTTGATAGACCATGTGCCTAGGGTTAGTGGACATCGAGGGTTGAGAGGACACTTAGCGAGCGGGAGCGTGATCGCGAGGAGGTTAGAGAGAAGAGCAGAAGACAGATCTTATACGGTCCTTGTAGGTCAAAAACGGGAGCAACCATTTTGTCTTAGAAATGATAGGCATCGGCGGGTTTGGAAGAGGCGTGGGGAGGAGGACCATGGGACTTGTACCGAAGTTTCCCATAACCGTCGAGCGGCGCGGGATCCGGAAGAACCCTTTGGTTACAGCGAGCTCGCTGGCTCACTGTGCACCACGTGCAAGAGATGCTTGGGAACACGCGAAGGGCAAGACGACATCTTTGCGCGTTCGCGCCACGCGTGGTGTCGGGCAAGCACCTGGCGCTCATTATGTACCCGTTTTCCTCTTGCAAGTCCGCGGGCGGTGCGGCCGCGCTCTCCCTGGCCTCGCCCGCGGGGTCTGGAGTGCGGCAGCGGCCAGCGCGCCTGGAGCAGGGAGCTCGACAGTTCGGTGGCGTCCGGCGGGCTCTGGAGTTGATAGACTCTGTGCCCAGGGGTGGCTGGATACTGAGACAAGGTGTACATGCTGGCGAGGCCATTCCGAGAACCCTGACCATAACTGAATAGCCGGCCGAAACTAAAAGAAGGGTGGGATAAGCTGCATATTTTTGACTTCTGGTTTCTAATGCCCATTATTTTCTTCTGCCCTCAGCAGACAGGCCAACTTAAAGAACTGCTGAGACCGTGAGGGACTTCAGGACACTTAAGATCGCTGATCATCGAAGTTCCAGCACGGCTGAAACTTCCCCTATCCCACCGAACTATTTCCCGCTTTTTTAGTTCTGCCTTAGAAAATAGCGCTTTTTAAAAATGTGAGGAGCTGGTCGGTTAGTTCCGGTGGTTAGAGAGCGGTGTTATAACACCAAGATCCCTATACCCTCCAACCACAAAAAAAAAAAAAAAAAAAAAAAAAAAAAAAAAAAAAAAAAAAAAAAAAAAAGCGCTTTTTAAAAATGTGAGGAGCTGGTCGGTTAGTTCCGGTGGTTAGAGAGCGGTGTTATAACACCAAGATCCCTATACCCTCCAACCACAAAAAAAAAAAAAAAAAGAAAAATGCTTCTTTGCAAGAATTTGTCTTCCCCCTCCCCTAAATGTCCATTTCTATTCCCATTTCTATATTGTTATAAAAGTTTAAAAACAAAAAAAGTTTCTGTGTTTTCACTGGGCTGGAGTTTTAGGCAGAGAGTGCCCAGGCCCTGAGCACACATCTGTGTGGCACTTCCTCTTGAGAGCCTCGCACCCGCCGGGAGCTGTGGACTTTATTATTGCTACTTTGTGAACTAGGAAAGCTCAACAGGGTACTTGGCTTTTCTTGAGTCAAACTGCCGGCAAATGGCAGTCAAGGCTCAAATTTAAAAAGTAAGTTGTCATTGATTCACTCATTTATTCAGTCAACATTTATTGAGCAACTATTAAGGTTGTATACCAGGGGTATAGTGCGGGGTTGGGGGAGGAGGACACATCAACTAACAATCACTCAAAACATTTCTTTTCTCTTTTTTTTAACTTTAAAAAAATACATTTTAAAATTTTACTTCTCAATATACATTGTGGTTGATTTTCATGCCTCTTTACCCGTTCCTCTCCACCCCCTCCTCTCCCCCCCCCCCCACACACATCATATCTGATCACTTGACTTAAATTGTTCAAGGAATTGTTGTGGTTATTCTGTCTTCTTCCCCCCACCCTTGATTTGTTTCACACAAAACATTTCTAACGCTCAGTTTCATTGAATGGAAGACAACAACGTTTCCGGGACTCACCGTTCTTTCACGTACCTCTTAGAAAAATGTTGCTGTTACAGTAAGACACATCCCGATCTCAGAGATGATAAAATGTCAAAAGCCGGGCCTTAGGATCGGTGAAATGCGGTTAAGATGATGAACGGGAAATTCCAGGGAGACCTCAGAATGATGGATGCCCGTACACTTGCCCTTCAGTTATTAGCCTGCTCTGGGTCGGAACCCCGCAAGGTTTCGGGTAGTTTGTCCGTGAGGCCAGAGCCTGTAGGTGGCGGAGCCTGGCCAGATGTGGCTCACAGCCTCGGAGTCCGGCTCTGCAGCCCGCTGAGGGCCTGCGGAGGCTGGATCCCCACCTCCGCCTCTGAGCTCTGGGACCCCCAGGCAGCGGCTCCAGAGGGTTGTGAGATTGCCAGTGACCGCCCCCCAAACCAAATGCAAGTTGGTGCTTCTCTGCCGGAGTAGAGATGCCGCAGGGACACGGCTCAAACTTCAGCTGAAACCGGGAGACGCTCCTGCTCCGCTGCCGCATTCCAAGCCGGAGCACCTCGCTTCTGTTATTTTCTATTGAGGCGCTATCCACATATCGTGAAATTAACAGTTTTTAAGCGTAAAACTCAGTGATATTTAGTACACTCACAATTTTGTGCAACCATCACTCTTATCCAAAACATTTTGATCACCTCCGAAGGAGGCTTCATTAGACATACCTATTAAACTATCCTTACCCCCAGCCCCTGGCAACTACAAATCTCTCCTCTCTATAGATTTACCTATTCTGTATATTTCTTATAAATAGGATTATACAATATGTGTCTTTTTGTTCCTGGCTTCTTTCGCTGAGCGTAATGTTTTTGAGGTTCATCTGCGTTGCAGCATGTATCAGTACTCCATTCCTTTTTATGGCTGAATCACGTTCCATCCTATGAATATACTGCAATTTGTTTATCTACTCATCTGGTGATGAACATTGAGTTGTTTACGCTTTTTGACTATTGTGAATAGTGCTGCTATGAGCATGCGTGTATAAATGTTTGTTTGAATACCTGTTTTTAAATTTATTTTTATTTATTTTATTATTATTATTATTTATGATTTATTATTATTATTTGCAAAGACCTAGAAGTAAATTGCTGGGCCACAAATTGCCAAATCAAGGTCATAAAAATTTATCCCTATGTTTCCTTCCATGACTTTTACAGTTTCAGCTCTTGCACTTAAGTCTTTCATCCATTTTGAGATATTTTTTGCATATGGTTTAAGGTAGGGGGTCTAACTTCATTCTTTTGCATGTGGATATCCAGTTGTCATAGCATATTTGCTAAACAAACTATTCTTTGCCAATTGAATTGTCTTGATACCCTTCTCAAAAAACAATTGACTGTAGATGTATTAGTTTATTTCTGGACTCTCAATTCTATTCCATTGGGATATATGTCTACCTTTATGTCACTTCCACACTGCCTTGATTTGTTTCAAGATCGTGTTTGGGATCTCTTGCAATTCCATATAAATTTTAGGATAAGCTTTTCCATTTCCATTTTTTAAAAGGCCGTTGGGATAGTGATAAGGATTGCATTGAATATATGGATAGATTTGGGCATTACTGTCATCTTGACTATATTATCTTCCAATCCAGGAACACAAAATGTCTTTTCATTCAATTAGGTCTTTTCTAATTCCAGCAATATTTTTAGTTTTCAGTATACAAGTATTGCATCTACTTGGTTAAATTTATTCCTAAGTATTTTATTCTTTTTTGATGGTATTGTAAATGGAATTGTTTTCTTAATTTTTTTAATTGTTCATTACTACTGTATAGAAATACAACTAATTTTTATGTGTTGGTCTTCTGTACTGAAACTTCACTAAATTTGTTTTAGCCATAATAGTTGTTGGGGGACGGGAAGGGGGTTCTTTAGGATTTTCTCTATATAACATCATGTCATCTGTGAAAAAGGATTGTATTACTTGTCCTTTTCCAGTTTGGATGTTCCTTTTTTCTTGCCTAATTGCTCTGGTTGAAACTCCCAGTTCATTGTTGCTTGTACAGTTTTGAATAGAAGCAGAAGGGGTCATCCCCATCTTGTTTGTGATTTTAGGGGGAAATCTTTCAGTCTTTCACCACTGATTATGATGTTAGCTCAGCTTGAGGATGTTCCCTTATATTCCCAGTTTCTTGAATGTTTTTATCACGAAAGCATATTGGATTTCATCAAATTCTTTTTCTGCATCAATTGAGATTCTCATATTTTTTTCTTCATTCTATTAATATATTATATTGATTGATTTTCATATGTTGAACTTGCATTTCTGAGATAAATCTCTCATATGCTGTGGAATTCAGTTTGCTAGCATTTTGTTGGGAAATTTTGCATCTATATTAATAAGGTATATCAATTTGTAGTTTTATTTTCTTGTAATGTCTTTGGTTTTGACATCAGAGTAATGCTGGCCTAACAGAAT